GTGCGTAGGGAGGGGGTGGGAGGGGGCGAGCCCGGGCCCGTGGCGCGCTCGGAGCTGTGGCACCGCTGGCCGTGGCGGCCTGGCGGCTCGGGGCTCGGGGGTGCTTTGGCGCTGTGTGCGCGGCCGGCGCCAGGCCCGCATCAGCCTTGTTACTCACACACGCCCCAACACGCGCGCCCGCCCCCATCCCCCGCAGATCCGATCCACCCAGGACCGCGCCCGCGAGCTCTCCGCCGTCCACTCTGCCGCGGTGGCCGCGCTGCTGGACAAATACGCGGCGCTGCGGCACGAGGTGGACGCATACAACGCCGCGCTCGCCCTCGCCACGCGCGGTGAGCGTGTGTGTGTCTGTGTGTCTGTGTGTGTGCGTGTGTGTCTTTGTGTGTACATGTGTGTGTGTGTGTGTGTGTTGACGGCCAGGGGGCTTGCCAGAGCGCATTGCAGGCGACTTGTTTTGGGTTTGGGGGGAGGGCGGCGGCGTGCTTGCTGCCTTGGGCGGGCGTGTGTGGGGATGGAGGTGGGGTTTGGGTGTCCATGTTGGGGGGGAGGCGGTGGGTTGCGGGGCACATAGGATACGTGCGCCTGTGTGGGGGTGTTGGTGCACGTTTGGGAGGCACTGGGCTGGCCCTCACCCCACCTCGGACAAACCCCCGGCTCCCAGCACCCAAGCAAGGCCCCCACTCAAAGCCCTCTCTGCACCCTCCCGCGGCCGCGCCGCAGACGAGGGCGCGACCGCCCCCCCCGGCCGGGGCGGCGCGCTGCCCGGCAAGGCTGCGACGTCAGCGGCGGCGGCGGCGGCGGCGGCGGGCGCGCCGCCGCGGCCGTCTCAGCCGGGGGCCGGCCGCGCGAGCTCGGGGCTGCCTGCGGATGTGGGGCGGCTCAGGGACCAGCTGACAGATCTGACCGTTTGAAAGCGCGCGCCTGCGTGGCGATCTGAGACTTTCGACATTAACCTGCGACCTAGGCGGGCCGCCTCGTGCGTCCACCCTCGCCCCCTGGTCGCTTTGCCGCGAGGCCTGCGACGGGCGCGGGGTAGGCGCCCCCTGCAGCCTCACGCCGCGCCCGTGCCCAGCACCAGCCCTGCACTCGAGGGCACTATCAACCTGTAGAGCCCGCAACCGCTGCAGGGCAACTTCACTCGACCCACTGTGCCCCGCCTGCTTGTGCGCACTCTGCCCAACCGTCGCCGACTTGATGAGTGTAATTTCACCAACATGGCACCGATCAGTCTCACTCAACAGTCCAGCGTTGTCACTTGTGTGGCCTGAGGTGTCGGGGAGTGGAGTCACTTCCCCTGCTGCAGCTCATGGGTGCTGCCGCCGGCTGCTTGTGCTGGCCGCCCCGCGCCACCCTGTGCAGCGGCAGGCTTTCGGTTTCAATTATTACCGGCACCCAGGATGATGATAATGATGGCGTGGGTCGTGAAAACGCGCCGGGCGGGCATGGCGCTAGGCATGCGCCGCCGCGGCAAAGCAATGAGGGGGTGCGGCCTGCGCTGCCGGGGCCTGTGCGCCGGCAGGCTGGTGTGCGGGGACCGTGGCGCGGGCCGCTGCCGCCTCTGCGCTCGGCCATTCCTAAATACGCATGCAGCGCAGGGCCGAGCGGGGTGCGGACGGGCGCGGCGGGCTGCGACCAAGTGCGCGCTGGCAGGCCGGTCCAAGGAATGCGTCAGAGGGTAGGGTCTACTGTTCCGGAGGCGGCGCCCGGCGGTCCGCCCGGCCTGCAATGCATTCGCGCAAAGGCGGCAAGGGGTGGGGCGCGGGCGGCTGCGGAGGGCGGAGGCATGGAAATGCTGTCTATTATGTCATGTGGGACGCGCGTTGGCGGCCGGCCGCAAGGCGGGAGCTGCTCCACGACTCTAAGCCGCGCCGCCCGCCCGCCGCTGGCGCCAGGGGAGAGTGAGAGCTGTGAGCGCACGCGCGCCGCGCGGCGCGGGAGCACCGCCAGAGGGTTCGAGTGCGTGGGGACGGGCGGGGTGCCGGCGGCCGGCGCGTTGCAGCGGCCGGCCGCGGGCGGAGGACGGGGGTTGCTGCGGCGGTGGGCACGTGGGGTGGCTCGAGAAAGACTCGGGGCGGAGATTCCGGGATCAGGCCGGCCCGCCATCTAGGAGCGCGCGCACGCGTTGCAGGTTGAAGAAACATGCGCCGCCGCGGGAGAAAATAGGGGCCCTCGCGGCTGCTGCAACAGGGGGCAGTAGTAGTTGGCGCAACCTTCAGAGGGCCCACAACAATAACAACACCCCCTGCTCAAGACAACAGGGCCGCCGCGCCGCTCAAGTGGCCTCCACCTTGCACTGCTGCTGCTCGCCTGCCGCCGCCGCCGCCGCCGCCGGCGCGGGCGACGGCGGGCCACCGGCGCTCCCAGCGGCCGCGGCCGGCGGCGGCGGCGCGAGCCCCACGCACGCGGGGTGCGCCATTGCGACGCCGGGCGACTGCTTCCAAACCAGGCCCGCCGCGCACTGCACCTCCTCAGCTGAGTAATCTTCTGCCCTAAAGTTCAGGTCCGCCCCCGGCCCCTCGATCGCTAGCGCCACGCAGTCCCAGACGATCGCCGCCGCCCGGTTGCGCTCAAAGCCCTTCTTCCAAAGGACGGCCCCGGCGCCGGCGCCGCCAGCGGCGGCGGGGCGCGCGTAGGCTGCGCGGTAGCGGCGCTTGGGCGGCGCGGACGGCACAAAAGTGACGCCTTTGTATGTCGCCGCCGCGTCGTCGTCCGCCGCCGCCGCCCGCGGCTGCGCCGCTGGCACAGGCACTGGCGTGGGCGCGGGCGCGGCGGCGGCCGCGGGCCGCGGCGGCGGCGACGAC